TCTGCTGTACGCTTGGAACTCGATCGGCTGATGAAGGGAATATCTGTGTTATCATCTACAGGAAGCCGTCCACCCCCTGTCCTATCAAGTCACGCGTCACTACAAGTCTCTTAGGTCGTTACACGGTAAAATGAGGTCACAAACACGCACACCAGATCGAATTGGTGCATTTTAGACTAAACTGCGTAAACCCGTTCCTATCCACTGAGTTCTCTCAGAGGGGTAGAAGTTTAAGTGACATATTCCTGGAAAGGTACTGAGTATGTACAATTTATACTGTACATATGTATAGTTGTCCCGAAAAACACGCCGCCAATTCAGTACTTTAACCATTACCTTGGTTATTTGTTTCTTAACGTCAGCTAATAAAGTTTGTGGCACACTTTACACTTTCCGTAAATCAAAAGCTTCTGTGATTATTTCCATAACCCCGATTCCTGTAGGTTGAAGGGACCGCGCACTTCTGTCTTCGCCATTAACGGAATTCCGATAACTGAAAATGGCTGTGCTTTTTCCCAAAAAGGTTCCCGCCTTTTCCCGTGCCTTAGGTGAAGTGGATGATGCCTTCGATGAAGAACCCAGCTTTTTGAACAATATTCATACAAGTCTCTCATTTGAAGAGCTACAAAATGTTCCTGAAATGATAAATAATGTTATCATAGGTATCGGCGACATCTGCTGTGAGTTTCTCACGTGTCATTGTCAGTGCGCAAACATGTCTAAGGTGAAAATTATCAAGTTTACTCCGCCGGAAAGCCCAGTGGTTGAATGCACAGCTTTTCTCTGTGAATCTTCAATTATCGTCTGGCTTTGTCACACAAAAGAAGATGACAATGTCTTTGGATTGTCTAATTTGGTGGAAAGTCTTTTGTCAAGTTTCTCTGTGAATGAACATTGCGCCTTCTACATTTTTTCCTCAGAGTATTCACACCGTTCTCAGTTTCCATCTTTTGCCCCGAAGCTCCGAAGCCCCTTTGTCAGAAAGTTACACACTTCTCGCTTTGAATGCCGCCATGTGGATCAGAATATTCCAATGCTCGAACAACCCAACGTTATCTCAGGTTTTGCGGGTGAACTATTGAGTAGACTTACTTATCGGCGTTATGCTGGTTGCCTGTACATACTCTTTTATGATGCCTCCTTTCCACTTTCAAACGCGGCTATCTTCTCGGCCATCGGGCACTGTGTCATATCGCTGCCAGGTTTGAAACACCTTCAGCCACCGGATTCTTCACGCTTTTTGGAATCTGGTAGAGCAAACATGTCCCATGGTCAACTATACATATAGGTCAGCAATTTTAATTCAAACTCAGTTTTTTCCTTACTGGATTCACCAATCTTTGTCCCTCCTATTTCCAAGTGAAAATAATCACAAGCTATTTAATATGTATGTACCCACTTGCATTCACCGGAACATGTCGTTGAACAATCTTCACCAAGGACCGCTTGGTAGTGTAGCGGGTCGAGATTGGTACAAACCTAAGAGAGCAATTTGCCTGTATATGGTTCCGGATGTAACGTCGAAAGGGTTTGTTGTGCACCGCAACACACAAACGCACGAGGAGGTAGAAGAACAACGAGATAGTGACAAATAAGGTCTGTTAATATAAAAGGGATGGTAAGCAATAAAGAGGGGGCAATACGATACGAGGAATAACCAAGGAACTGTACAGATAATCCATTTGGAAAAAGGAGCGATCACAGAGTATCAGTTAGATACCGGTGGGGAGGGCAGAGCTGTCGGCAACTGCGGGTGAGGAACATTGTGGTGCTGACGACGAGACGACGATACGTTACGGAGTGGGGGGGGGGAGTCTTGTCACCAAAGGGAAAGAGGAGGAAAACCGGCATATTCACCAACAGACATTCACACTATCCTCGTCCGGATTTGCGCCATAAGTGACCTTGGTACGTTCAAACACCCATGGTCCGGGCTGGTTCGTTATAGTAGATCTTTAGTAACACGTTATGTCCATATACGGAGGATGCGTAGTCGACATGAGTCAGTCAGCGTCCGGGCACAAGCTCAACACCGTCTTCTTCACATAGGGCCTTTCCAAGAATCCAGTCAATGACGTAGTTTAATGGAATAAGCGACAGGACACAGCTCTGTCGAACGCCAGATTTAATAGCGAACGATTATGGAAGGCTGTTATGGACCTTAACCCGCACATTGGTTGAACGGTAGTATGCCTTGATCACGTCTAGCGCCACTATCCACCGCAAGGATTCACGATGGACGGAATTGAAAGCAACGGCAAAGCCAAGAAAGCAGATGGCCGTTGGTTGTTGGTAGCTATGGCGGAGTTCAAGGATCCGTCTCAGTGTAAATATCTGGTCCGCACATTCACGCCCAGCGCGATGTCCGGTTTGGTTGGGCCGCGTCCTAGAATCACGTACAGACTGGAACCGTCTGGGAAGGAGAATAGCGAAGATCTTTGCAGCGACATCGATAAGACTTATGTCGCTTTAGTTTTCGTATCTTGTCTTATCTCCCTTGTAGACAGGTACAAGGATGTCGGAGCTCGTCACCGCGAACGGTCTCGTATCTCCAGGCTTGTCTAATAAGCTCAAGAAACCAAGGAGACAGAG